TGTTTATTTGTAAAGAGGATATTAGCTACGTATAAATGAATATTTCCTATTTAAAAGTTTCTTTTAAGACAAATTTTCAAATATTGCATCAAAATACCCAGCAAATATTAATATCCTATTTTAATAAGTAGTACAGAGGCAAATTGTATTAGGGCAGGCTGTCCACAGAAACATAACCAATAGGACATATGTAGATTTATAAGAGGAAATTTATTGTGGGCTCATACAGTCGTGGGGGCAGAGACCCTGGGACCATGATCTGCGTGGAGAAGCAGGGAGGCCAATAGTGTCATTCAGTCTGTGTGTGAGGGCTGAGAACTAGGGAAGCTGATGGTATAAATCCCAGTCCCGGAGGTGGGTTTGGGAAATATGTGTTGGGTTGCTCGCAGGTATAGTCCTGGAGTCTGGGGCCCTCTTAACCAGGGGAGCACCAGTGTCCAAGGGCAGAAGAAGATGAATGTCCCAGCTTTAGAAAAGAGCAAATCCACCCTTCTCGGCCTTTTTGTTCTATCCAGGTTTGAAAGGGATTGAGTGATGCCCACTCACACTGGTAAAGGCAGATCTTCTATGTTCAATCTAATTCAAGTGCCACTTAGAGTATTTTAGAAATACCATCACAGGCACATCCAGCAATAATGTTTTCCCAGCTATGTGGCTATCCCTTAACCTGGTCAAATCAACACATAAAAGTAACCATCACACAAACCAACTTAATCAAGTCAATTCTAATCAACAACTTGATTCAGAATAAAATAGCATGTTAGCTCTAGGTTTTATATATTGGGGACCTGAGTAAATCAAGAATAATTCAGGTCTATTTTTGTTGAAAAGTGTATCACAGTCTCTGCACCTCAGAGCAGAGCAAAGCATGCTTGGCATTTGAATACCTTCATGTAGACAATGTTACTGGCACTGAAACGAAATATTTACCTGGTCACATAGCAGCAATACCAGAGCACTTGCTCATGCTGTTCCTTTTTCAGGCCTGTCTATGCATCCTGAGAACCCACTGTATTGTGTAGTATGATACAGCGTTAGCAGGGAGGTGAAAATCACAAAGCATGGGGTGCCTCAGATGCCAGGCTGCAGTGGTCAGTTTAGTACTATGATAAAAGGCAGCCATTGAAGGTTTTTGAAGGTTTTAAAAACAGCAGTTTAGGAAAATATGCAAGACAGATTAAAAAGGGGAGAAACTAAAGAATAATGGAGACTAAAGTAATCCTCCAGGCCTGAGGTGACAGGGTCTCAACTCGGAATAGTATTGCAAGAAAATACCAGCTTGGGAAACCACTCCCTTAATATGAAGCTAGTGAGGAAGAGCAACTTGGATAAATATAGTACTTGTCTTTTAAACTGACTTTTGACTTGTTCGAGCCAATTACTTTTTTAAAACTTGAGCTGAGGTTTTCTTTTTTCCCCTTAGCTTTGTTCTTGAGTGTCTGAGTGGTTTTCCATGGATATGTTTCTTTCTTAACCCTGTTAGCAGGATTTCTCCTTACAAGTATTTTATATCTGAATGTCTTTAGATATTTTATTTATTTATTTATTTATTTATTGAGACAGAGTCTCACTATGTTAGTAGAGTGCCATGGCATCACAGCTCACAATAACCTCAAACTCGTGGGCTCAAGCAATTCTCTTGCCTCACCCTCCCAAGTAGCTGGAACTACAAGTGCCCACCATAACGCCCAGCTATTTTTAGAGATGGGGTCTCGCTCTTGCTCAGGCTGGTCTCAAACCTGTGAACTCAGGCAGTCTACCCACCTCAGCCTCCCAGAGTTCTTGTGAGCTTAGGCAATCCATCTACCTTGGCCTCCCAGAGTTCTAGGATTACAGGCATGAGCCGCCCAGCTTCACTCAAAACTGTACATGGGCCGATATAAGAGGGAAACCATGTGTGGCTTTAAAAGCCCTCGTGTTGGTTCAGCACCTGTAGCTCAGTGGTTAGGGTACCGGCCACATGCACCGGGGCTGGTGGGTTCAAACCCAGCCCAGGCCTGCTAAACAGCGACAACAACAACAACTACAAAATAGCCGAGCATTGTGGCAGGTGCCTGTAGTCCCAGCTGCTTGGAAGGCTGAGGCAAGAGAATTGCTTAAGCCCAAGAGTTTGAGGTTGCTGTGAGCTGTGATGCCATAGCACTCTACTAAGGGCAACATAGACTCTGTCTCAAAAAAAAACAAAAACAAAAAGGCTTGGCGCCTGTGGCTCAAGCGACTAAGG